CGCCTAGAGAGATGGTCAGGTGCAACATTTTTATTTCAAAGGCCTAACGTTTTACTAATCGCCGGCTTCTAGAAGATGAATATTACCCTATCGAAATACATATATGGTCCACCTGATAACATCGCAAGGCATGTGCAGCTATCTACTGCTGCCCATTTTTTCTGCTCTAACCCGACAAAAAACCCACTGGTACAATTAGCGGAACAATACAAGCCCTCATTAGAAATCCACTACGTAGCGCTTAACTAGCATTTTCAATGTAAAAAAACAAACCTTCTCTTCGGGGCCCGCACATACAAGCTTCATCACACAAGGCTCCTTATGTTTGGTCACGGCGTGATACATTGGATTGAATTTCGATTTATACAACATAACCTGATCCTTGCCATATCTTTCTAATTGCTTCGGCTGCAAATAAGGAATTGCTTTATTTATTTATTTAATAAATAAATAAATGACTTATGGAAGCAAGCTATTTGGAAAACAAATGACCAACCTTCTGTTAGTCCAACAGTACCAATTAGTGGATGACTGAAGACAACGGTAGCAATGTTCTCATAAGGGAGGTAGTTCTCAGACTCGTTATTAAAAAGACGATGAGAAAGGCGGCGTCCAGCAGCTATGGCTACTAAAAACACCACAGTCTGAGTGCTATTACAGAACAAAAAAATTATGTCAAATTTTTCTGAGTCAACTTAATGAAGCATAAATGAACTGCAATATCGAACTGAAATAGAAAATAACGGTGAATTTCGAAAAAAATGGGCACTAACCTGGCGTAAGGAGGTATTTCCCGGCAGCGTCACCAACGCATAAAATTGAAGGATTAGTGGTATTTTGGTATTTATCCACAATAATATGACCTTGATTGTCAGTTTTCACACCAACCTTAAAAATTTTGCTTTTAGAATCATTCAAATAACAATGATAATCCCAGTATTACCTTATCGAGATTCAACTTCTCTGTGGACGGCGTTCTTCCGACTGCCCATATTAAGGTCTCCACCTCGTCAATAACACCGGTATTTGTGTTGATTGTCAGAAGTCCGTCCGAGCGTTTCTCGACACTTTTTACCTAGACAAAATACGCATGCGACAGTACTCCACATGCTAGCAGATCGAGGGAAATCACAGAAGAGTAAAACAGGTTGTGAAAGAATTCCTGAGTTCACCTGTCTGATTATATATGAACAATGGAACAAATCCATATCCGTCAGTTGATCCATTACGATCTCCAAGAGATCTCCGTTCGCACATCAACACATACATAGGTTGAAGGCTCTAAGCTGTCTTAAGCCCATGATGATTCCGCACCATTTGTCAACTGTGACTCCTTGAAGGTCTCGGCTTCATGTGGGATGCATCAACCCTTCTGCTAGGAACATGTGAACATTTTCTACGCTGCACTCTTCATTACTTCTTTCGAGAACGATCGTTCCGCAGCTCCGTGTTGACTTGGGATCACTTCTCCGTTGTGACTAGCTGAATACAATTGCAATTGCAAACAGCTTGAGTGACCCATTTTCCTGGACGCTCGTGTCGTTTGGTGAGAGGGGGCATTGAAGTGAGAAGGCCAGCTGTAGTACTTGGGACCGAGCCTTAGGGAGGGTAAGGGATTCTGGAAAAGGACGTGAGCAGCTCTTGTCTCCCTGGCGTTTCTCCCTTCTCTTGGGCTTATGGCTATTGTTAGTGTCACCTAACATCGGTTTTTAAATGCCTGCTTCGAATATACCCTCAAAGCCCTGAACGCCCCTTATCACCATTTGAAATAAAAGAGAGAGAATATTTCCCTACCTGAGTACTTTTGTGGATATTTACAGGGCCCTTGTCCATAGCTTCGGTGAGTGAGGTACTGAGAGTTTCATCAAAAGTGCGTAAAACCTAAAATAGCAATTATTTGAAGGAAAATGTCACTCTTCCATGAACTAAACGGACCTTTTCGTATCTTATCAACAGATGAGTATCTGATCCTAAATTAGCCATCATTCCGGCAAGCTCCACAGCAATATAGCCAGCTCCGACTACTACTGTTTTCCTGTAACATTGGCAATAATTCATAAAAAGTGCAAAAAATCCTACTAATTTATGAGTGATTTTCAGTAAAGCCTGTAATGTTAATGCAGAGTAGCTCTGCAGAAATAAATCACAAAGAAAGTAATTTGTCCCAGAAACGTGACCAAAATAAACTCACTTAGGAAGCTTGTTGAGTTCAAAAAATCCATCACTGTCTATTCCAAACTCAGCACCGGGGACATTAGGAATGGTTGGATAGCCTGCAATTGAGAGACAAAATTGCATTGAAAAATGAATTTCATCAAATGCCTACGATCTCGCTCTAAAGAACATTAACATTCCTTGAAAGAACAACCTACGCTGAGCGAGCTCTTACCTCCCACAGCAATGAGTGTGTATTTTCCCTTGTACTTTTGTCCATTTACTTCTACACTACCGTCATCAGTGAATGAACCATAACCACGAATGAGATCTACTTTAGACTGAAAGGGGACAAATCTCGTTTCAGCAAACCAGAGAAATTTTCTCAAAAAGCGCCAACAAATAGTAAACATGGTAGGAATAAATGGAAAAATCTAACTTACTCCATTGAGATTATTCTCGTATATACCATTAAGACGTCGAATGTAAGCATCTCGAGATTCCTTTATTACACTAAAAACAGAACAAAAATAAGGACGTCTATCTTGACCTTCGAAAAGCAAATCCAAGCTGACCTCCAATCAAATTTGTTCAAAGTGACATCAAACCCGTAGTCTGCATGATCGCGTATGAATTCTGCGTGCATTGAGCAATTGTACATAACCTTTTTTGGCACACAACCGACATTCACCTAAATTTGAGAGAAAAGCTCCCTCCTAGGAAAAAATGACGTTACGAATCAAATCATAAACAGAATGGACCTACACAAGTTCCTCCAAGACGACCACTCTCGATGAGGGCAACTGAGACTCCGAATTCTCGGGCCCGACGAGCTGATGCGATACCTCCAGAGCCACCGCCAACGACCAAGTAATCGTACTCTTTCACTGTTGCCATTCTCCTGTGAAAAGACTCACGGCGTAAATTTTACTCGCACGACTTCTATGACCACTACTGTTTTTTTATACTAGAGCAACCCATTTTTATAGGTAAAACCATTATGAGAGTTTCTATAACAGTGTTCACACGAAAACGCGGAGAGCGCCAAATAACACCTCAGAACAAAGTTAGCACGAAAACCACCGAAACTTGTATGGCAAATCGAGAAACAATGAGAAAACTGACTGAAACCATCCATAGCTTGATATTCATAATTTTTTAATATACGTCTTATGCTCTAGAACGTGGAAGCCTATTTCCATAGAAGATCGGATTCAGTGTAAGCAATCCACGCCATTCATAGCACTCCCTCTTGCTAGGCGCGAATATTTTTCGAAACAACAAACTGGATTAAAGCTGCATTCAAGGAGATACACAGGTGCTAATTTACAACTAAAAGTAAGACGAAGCAATTAGAGAAACTAGTCGAAAATTATGCGAATAAACCAATGGGGACACTGCTGAAGGCTCGATTCGGAGTATCACACCAGCACTAAACAGCAGGAATTCAGAGAGAATTATTAACTGAAAGCAATCTGAAACGTGAAAACATCTCGAAATGAAATTTTGATGACATTAGCGCCAATTTTGATGACAATAGCGGGAGTATATAAGCACTGTAAAAAATGGAGAAACGATGATATCGCCCGATGAACCGAGACGATCTTTGATCAGTGAGCACTCGCTTCGACAGCGGCCGAACGAACCGGCGCGAGTAGTCGGGCGGCGAAATCGTTGCTAAGAGAGTCACGTCACGGATAGGCTGCGATGAGATTGGCGGTATGGACAGAGAACAAAGTTTCGAATCACCTGTGATGACGAGGAATGCCAAGGATAACGCGAAAGTTACTCGAATCTACGCAATTTTTCTGCGAGTAGATTCCAGTTTGATTCTTAACGAGTCTAGTACCCTCCTAAAGCTTCAGTAGATGCACTTTCACGACCATGAGGAGTTTAAGACAAGAAACACCGTGATAAGTCTAGAGCCGTTTTGGAATGACCAACGGAGCAAGGCTGAAGCAACACGCAATTTCTCCTATGGACCCATCTCAGGGAAGGATTGAGGGGTCTATTCCAGTTAAGGGCACCATGATGCAGTTTTTCCAGAAAGCTAGGGTAACTCCGAGCCAGGGGGAGTGTAGCCAGTAGGGGTGGGGGTGAGGGCAGTCACTTGACATGCGTGAAAAGCTGGAATGTTCGAGTTCACACTAGTTCGCCGAGAAACTGCATCATGATGCCCTCTAACTGGAATAGACCCAGATCGAGTAACCGCAGCCAGATGCAGGAAGAGCCGTGTAAAGACCAACTTTTTCGGAATCTCGCCATCCGGCACTGCTTTTTGCGTTCTTCTCTTTCACCAAACTTTTAGAGAGAGGTTATATTCCTATTCGCCCTCGGTTTCTTGCTAGCTGACCCTCACCACTGTGCTTCATACAAAGCCTAACAGAGACAAGGGCAAGCATTTGAAACAGAAAGACAAAAACAAATTACAGATTGGGAATCATCCTAAGAATAATCTAACCACACTAAATCCTTCAATATACAACAGAGGTGAAAAACCAACCTCACAAAACTTTTTACTGTATGGTATGCAGCTCTTGACGACAGCTGAATGATTACCATACTCCAGAAGTGAATAGTTTTTCTAAGTTCATCCAACATGAAACAATCATGTTATCCTTAGAGATGCACAAACGTTGAAAACGTTCCCGTGGAGAGAAGCGTAGAGAATAAGTATGCTTTATTACAGCAAGTATCACAGTAATTCAAACAGGAACCAGATCGATTAAAGAAATCTACGCATAACGTTGACTGCATTAATAGATAAAAACAAATCCAAGTAACAACGACATATCATGCTAAGCATCGTCAAAGTTGGCATACGTAAAACCTTTGCAAACCACACGTCTGTAATTTCTACGTGGAGCCGGCAAATGTGACAAAAAAGAAACCGTTCAGAAAATAATAAATCGCCCAATGAGGAGAATGATCCCGAAAATCCCTAACGATACAGCTACTTTGAAGAACGTAGACCTGAAAAAAAATGATGCAGAAAAGAAACCCAATGATGGTGCCAGGCAGGCTAAAAGACAAACCTCCTATTCAGTGCTTTGGCGTCCTCTCTGTACTTCTTACTCATACCGGACAAATCTGAGGCCTTGGCTTCCAAGACTAAAACGTAAATCATTAATTCTGCTTTTTTTGAATGTGTCTTTTACTATTTTACAATTCTAAAAAACTCAGAAATTGCACGTATTAATTCAATTCTTATAGAAACATACTATTTAATGCTTCTCCGCGATGAATCACATCCTCAATATTGCTCACCATGATGCGGGCGACATCTTGCAACTCATTCGATACAGCAGACATAGCGTACCTTGAGTGAACATTACTTGGTTCTCATATGAGAAAATCAACTTAACATCTATATTTTACTGGTTTTTCGATCTTTAGGATAATGCGAGAAGTGAAGTCTCAGGCCGTTGTCAGAGTCCGCGATCCGTCGCGCGATTCGCGCGACGGATTGCTGACTTTGACACCAGCCGGCCGAGCCGGACAACGAGATGGACATATGAAGTCAAAACGTATCATTCAGATGTTTTGTATTGACTTTGACGTTTAGTCATCCTTTGCATTTATTTCAGATGGTGGAGAAATGCTGACTGTAAGGAGTACTTGAAAAATGATACAGGTAAACTGCAGAGACATGAGAAATCGCGGAGAGAAGTAGCGAAGACAGGTATGGCAGATGTAGATATAGCAATATAATCAATCACAATATGGGCAACCAGATCGAAGGGAAAGGGAGTTTTGTGTGGAAGATGCAAATACAGAAAGGAAGAGGAGTGCGGGACGCTAACATGCAAGGAAATGTAAGGAAGACCGCAAAAGGTAGTGGAACGAAAAGGGTTACTAGTTTTTGTTTGTAAAACGCCACACTTCTCAAAAGCACGAATTGCGACATAACTGTTCTATGACGTATTTTCTTCTTGCCTGTGTATGTACTGTCTGGAAAACAAGATTGGTGATCATTCAAATTTGTTGTTACTTAAATGTCCACAATGATTCCTTGTCGAATTATTATCGACAAAATTAAAGAAAATTGAATCTCAATAAAATATGACTTTACCGAATTCAAGGAAATTGGTACGGTCGAGCTACTTGGTCAATTCTTGTGGCATGCTGATTCAAAAATTCTTGAGAAACATCTTCAAGGTAGGCAAAAGCAAGTTTCCGTGGAAAGGCGTGTTGGCATAAACATAAGCAGCATATGGACTGCTTGATGACGTAGCTGTAAACAACAGATCAGTCGTTGCACAACGCATGGAAACCTGTGCCTTAGTAGTCTCAGAAAGAAATGAATTCTAAATTCACTTCTCTTCTGAGACTGCTAGATGTCGGTCAGACTCTGCGATTGCATCGCGCGATGCAGTCGCTCTGCCTAGAGCGATTGGCATCGCTCCAAAGTGCGAGCGACGGGAGATTTACCCCGCCGACGACCGATACACACGGCGCCGCTCGGGTAAATCTCCCGTCGCTCGCACTTTGGAGCGATGCCAATCGCTCTAGGCAGAGCGACTGCATCGCGCGATGCAATCGCAGAGTTTGACCGACATCTAAGGCACAGTTGTGATTTTTACCATATAACATAACCTCCGCAACACAAACATAGTAGTATGTGAATTCTCACGGTACTGGTATTTGTTAACTTGCGCTTCATTTCTCAATCTTTCCATTGTATACTTTACTCGTGAATTTTCCTAGAAAAGGTTGCTGCTGCTTCTTGAAATATTCTTGTTTTATTATACCAGTTTGGCTGCGCACGCATTCGCGTGCATGAGACGGGGCTGCAGCGGTAAAATCGGGCCCATCAGTATTTTGTCTTGATTTTAGCTTTCTGCTCGGTACATCTTACTTACGCCGCAAACTCCGCCCACATCCGGGTGTGCCACGCCCAGCGTTCACATTCAACCTCTACTCCTACTTTCACCTCTGGCATATTTTTTTCAGGTCTCTAAGTCATCTCGGAGCCGAATTATGAGGTCTTGTAAATGGCGTTATGAGTCACGAATTTCTGAGGCAGACCCCGCCCACTTTGGTGCATGGTTAGCCCAACAATGGCATTCAACCCTACTCCATACCTCAATACTTATGCACATTTTCCCCGGTCGCCGGAACTTCTAGGAACCGAGTTATGAGAGCGGTGGCAAACTCCGCCCACATCCGGGTGTGCCACGCCCAGCGTTCACATTCAACCTCTACTCCTACTTTCACCTCAGGCATATTTTTTTCAGGTCTCTAAGTCATCTCGGAGCCGAATTATGAGGTCTTGTAAATGGCGTTATGAGTCACGAATTTCTGAGGCAGACCCCGCCCACTTTGGTGCATGGTTAGCCCAACAATGGCATTCAACCCTACTCCATACCTCAATACTTATGCACATTTTCCCCGGTCGCCGGAACTTCTAGGAACCGAGTTATGAGAGCGGTGGCAAACTCCGCCCACATCCGGGTGTGCCACGCCCAGCGTTCACATTCAACCTCTACTCCTACTTTCACCTCTGGCGTATTTTTTTCAGGTCTCTAAGTCATCTCGGAGCCGAATTATGAGGTCTTGTAGGGGACGAAATCGAGCTACGTATCTTTGTGGCAAACCCCGCCCACTTTGGTGCGTGGGTCGCCCACTGATATCAGTCGGCTATCATCTCTTCCCCAACCTTTTTCTACTTTTCTCCCATCTCTGGAACTTATTGGAACCGAGTTATGAAGTACCGTGGCAAACCCCGCCCACTTTGGTGCATGCTCCGCCCGCCAACAACGGTTGACCCCTTTCCCTCTGCCAACCCTCATACGCTTTTTTCCCGGACTCCGGGACTCCTAGGAACCGAGTTATAAGCCTAATTGCAAACTCCGCCCACTTTGATGTAAGCCACGCCCATCCCTGACATTTAGCTTCCCCTCCCCTCCTGACCTCTATCCGCTGTTTTCCGGTCTCTAACCAGGAAGGTCTTTCAGGACATGGAGCCCTTTTTGAAAACGGTTTTTTGCATGATAAAGGGGCACATGCATGGAGTACAAAACTAGGCTCCATTTTTTCTGAGCGGCCCTCCTAATGCCAAAAAAGGTATGAAAAATCGGTCGAGGGATCGGTCCCGGCTGATGACAAAATTTTGCATTTCATGTTAGCGCATGTTAAATGACTCCAAATGTTACCGCCGATAAAAATAGGTACTGTTCTTACAATCAGGGTCATCATCAACCTTTCTGATTAGCTTTCTGCCCAGAATTGGGGCGAAAATTGTATGGCGCTAAAGCGGCGCCGAGTTGGTGCCCGAGGAGGCTAAAATGGCGCAATATCGCGCCTCCATCAAAAATGGACGTCAGATTCGTAATCAGCGCCTATAATTACCCTTATAGCCGCAGTTTTAGAGAAGATCAAGATTTCGGCCCGAATTCAAAAATTGGGCCATGGGTAAGCCCATAGTCAGTACGGCATGCACGCTTCCCACTTGGAGACAGCTTCGAGATGATAGCAAGCGGCACGTTTGGTTGATAGTTACACTTCCACCGCAGTTCCTGCCCATGGGACAATCTGGCATCACCCCTTGATCTGGTCAAGGGCCTGGGTGGGCACTGGCTACGTCGACGAGCATCCTGGACGTTCCTCAACGCCGGCAATCTGCCTTCAAGGGAAATGGAGTAGGTGTTCCTTGCGAAGAAAATGACAACTTCACTTTTCTGGCGTTCGTTAGATGCAGTTGGTGTGATCCGCGCCTGTGATTCAGATGCTTCATTGAGTTTTACCATAACTGCTAGTTATTTATTGCTTGTAAACGGAATTTCGTACACAACTGAAAAACATGGTACTACGAAATATCGCAGAATTGTGGGAGAAAGTTCTTGGAAATGACACTATAGGCTTTAAGTTCACGCGCAAGCACATGTAAATGCAAAAAAGTGATAATCGGAAAAATGCAAAAATCCGAGCATGGAGGGGAACCGAACCAACAACTTCGAACAAACCGTGCCAACCAGAGTCCATCACGCTATCCACTCGACCATCCGACCACCGCTGTACAATGAATGTCAACTCTGATGAAACTTCCTTGTGCTTTTGAGCACTTATTATATACAATTTTTGGTATTGGCTTTATTCCACGCTGTTTTCAACGTTCAGGTGAAGAAAACCTTCTATTGTGCGTCCACTTAACATAACGAGTGATATAAACCACGTTGAAGGTGTGAAAACTCCGATTTCTGAAGAAATTTTTTCACTCCTTTTTTGGCATTCAGAGGGCCGCTCAGAAAAAATGGAGCCTAGTTTTGTACTCCATGCATGTGCCCCTTTATCATGCAAAAAACCGTTTTCAAAAAGGGCTCCATGTCCTGAAAGACCTTCCTGGTAAGTCATCTCGGAGCCGATTTATGAGCTCTTGTAGAAAACGCTGTCCGCTTCACGACACGCTCCGCCCATTGTGGGCGGGCCTCCGTTCACATCATGCGTGGTGGAAATACCTTAGGCATTGCTCCCCTGCACTAATTTCGTTCTGGTCTGTAGGCTTCCTCTTAACCGAGTTATGAATATTTTCACTGAGCACCCATTTTCTAGAGAACGCCCCGCCCACCGAGGGTGGGTCTCCTCAGTTCGATCTGGCTTACCAACCCACACCTATGCCCACTTTTGTCCCGGTCTCGAGGCTGTTTTGTGACTGAATTTGAAATCAACCGATGCACGCCACGCCCACTGTGGGCGGGGCTCCGCTTGGCTGATGTGTGTTTTTTACTTCTAGGGATATGGTATACCCATCCCAAACTTGACCTGGACCCTGTAGGTTGTTGTTCGCTTGATACCGAATTTCGTGACAGACGGACAGACAGACATAGCGCATTATATATAGTAGGGATAGTAGGGATCATGCATTCAAAATGAAAGCCTCGGTGCAGAGTGAGGGTATTTTTACAACTTGCTTCTTCGAACGAATTTATATACTCTATACCGATTCTGAAAAGATCCCAGGAACAAGCGAAAAATAAAATTGCGGTACTCAACGTAATGCAAACGACGTCTTTCCCTAAGAACTAATAAACCCCCAACCGCAAGTTTGCAAAGAATTTGGTGAACACAGCCGTAGTGAAAGGGCACACTGGCGGCAAGCACCAAATATACAGATATCGGACTCGTACAGGCAGCGAAAGTTACTTCAGTAGGTAAAGTTTTAACCAAACTATAAAATTTGAGATTTGGGGGGCAGTATGGGAAAATATCGAACAGAGCGTTATTCACTAGATTCTATGAAGAACAAATTCATGCTTAAAACAGATTTCGCGCTCGTAAATTCATTAAAAATGTCACTCGCAGGCGATAGATATGCGGTAACTTGATCAAGAAAATAAGATTAGGGTCGGATCCACTTCTACAGTTCGCTTTGCAGTTTGAGTGCAAATAGACACGTATCGACCATGCGAATTACACGATTACATGTGTGATCCATGCGCATCAACTACACAACAAAACGCGCGATCGTAAAGTATGATTCGGCCCTTACATCTCCAGGATCGGTTGAAAAAATTTGTCAAAGCGCTATTGATGTTCACTTCAATGCTGGTATGACCACTGCGATAGAGCGAAGTGTAAAATGAGAAGAGTGAGCGTAACTTCAGAATAAGTGCTGAACCAATAAAAATGCACTTCGCAATTATAAATTTAATGAGGAGCGGCCGAAAAATACAAAAAAAACTAGCCATCACAAAAAGTTACACTATTGACATATGATAAAGGACTGTACTCCATGACATAAACAACTAGGAGCCAGTGATACAAATTACTCCCTATTGTTTGTACCACACGTCAATCGAAAACCGTTATCTCCCCCATGTAAGTGAGAAAGAAACTATCTCTCTCAGCAACTAAAAAAAACAAGATCGGTTAAGCAAAAGTGTCGCGACCACCGAAGTTCTCACTTCTGACCACTGAGTAGAGAATTTGAGTTCGCTTATAACTTACGAAATTCGTCGTGCATCTTCACCCCTGAAGACAAGAAATTGCACTGCTTGCACTTGTCACCCCACTGTGAAAGACGACAGGCTATCTACCAACTTCGGTTCTCCCTAGTACACCAGCGGAATGAAATCAGCCTATTGGTAATTAATAGTTCTTTCGAAGGTTGTCTAACGTCTAAATCTCCTCATGTACGTATCTATTCCATTACTCCTTCAAGAAGTTGAGTATGAAAGCGCATTACGGTTTCAATTGGTCTTACAATTCAGCTGGGAAAGTAAAACATTATTTTGTGGAAAGGTGCAACAGAGCAGCTATTGAAGCAGGCAATGAGAAAGTGAAAACAAGACACCAACCTTATGAAAGAGTAAAAACACCCTTTAGTAACAAAACTAAACGTCGAATTCACTTCAACGTCAAGTTGTGAAACAGGTACCATATTGGAATGGCACTAACCTACTCTTTTCGGGCGAAAACCATAGGCCGTTGAATATTTTTACTTGGAGCACTTCTAGCATAAAATGCGCGCGATTAGACTGCGTTTCGCCGCTCTGTAAGGTCAGTCTAGTTCTGTTGAAGCAGATCCTTTTAGAACCAAACCGAGCTCCAGTGAAGGACTCGCCCTCAACAAGGTTTAGAGAGGCGAGGTCTGCATATACAGAAAAATTTGCAGAAGACTAGGCAGAAACGGACAACATGTGTCTATTAGGCACTCAGAAGTAATGGGAGGAGATATTCCCTGTGGTATACCTTCAGGCCAATCAGTTAGAGCGGAGGCGAATTGTATTTTGTGGAACGAAGTCCAGGCGAGTCGCAGTGGTTCCCCTCTAAACTAGTGCCCAGTTTTATCCAGAAACTAAGGCTTCCAAATAGTTCGCACGATATGCCAAATCGCCTAGTTGATGAAAGACGATTGTGCAAATGACTGGTGGGGCTATTCACAGCATCTTTGCGCTCTCCTGGTTCTACGGCTGGCGTCAGAGTCCGCGATCCGTCGCAGGTTTCGCTGATTTTCGCGATTTTCGCGATTCACGCGACGGGTCACGGAAATCACAAGTGCCCGATCAATACTGCAAGGTGTTCTCCAATCCGCCGCCACTTCTGCTTGATAGTGATGGCTGAATGACGACTGCCCTCATGATTCCACTTGTTTGATATTATAGAATCTAGAATTATAGGATAGAATAGGAACGAATCATGAGCATTTCAATGAACTGATAGACATTGAACATGAAACAAGTAGAATCACGAACAGTCGTCTTTGGCGCTCATGTCCTTGGGGGGACATCCCAGTGAGTGAGCCAATTACTGTACTTGGGACTGAGCCTTAGGCAGGGGAAGGGATTTTATGGGAAGATGCAAGCAATATGTGTGCTCCCTGGCGTTTCTCCCCTCTCCTGGGCTTAGTCCCAGTGTCACCTGCCATCGGCCTTGTTGTTGATGTCCCCCCCCCCAAGGACATGAGCGCCTCGTCTTTCAATCTTCACTTGCAAGCAGAATTCGCAGCAGGCTTGAACAGCATCGCAGGTTTCGCGCAAATCGCTGAAATCGCGCAAATCGAGAAAATCGCTGAAATCAGTGAAACCTGCGACGAATCGCGGACTCGGACACCAGCCTACGGGGTGTTCATAGTCGGTCGCCTGAGCGTAACGATCGCACAGCACTAGATGTGTATCGACCGGCCAATCGTCCGACACATTCGAAGCCCTAGTTGGATCTGGAAACGAAGAGACTGATGTTATTCGTACCATCTTATATTTTTAGAAAGATTAGTACACCCACTTGTACTCGAAATGAAGTAAAAACCTCTTATGAACTGGTTTGTTCTACGAAGTGTTGTTCTTGTTTGGTCCTCACATCAAAAGTTGCCCTGCCCCTTTCAAATTGCATTTAGATGAGTCGATGCACACTAGTTATTTACCACCATCCATGAGCCCAGATGGACGACCCTGAAATAAGCAATTTCTAACAGGATGATCTTCGAATAATTTTGGTTTTTTTGTAAGTTTTTGAAAGATGAAGCTCATTCACAACACCATTCTCCATTTCTGGACACTTTATCCACATCTACCTCAAGATTATTTTTATTTGATATATAGTATCTTATGCGCTTTGCATTCAAAACGGTGCTTTCGACTGTCACTGTATGATAACTGGTATTCACAAAGAAAATGTAAAAAACCACAGAAAAAAGTGGGGTGTACCTCTTCGATGGCGTTATAGCACCAACACAATGCTGCCCGGGTATTTTGCGATTGTATCCTCCAGATTCATCAAATCCATTGTACTGTTCACAGCTCGAACAAACGAAAGAAATTCCTCTGTTCATATGGAACTCGCTGGTCTTGCTGACAAAACCAACAATTCACTTTCACATGCAAGCGGCTCCTGAAAAGCATGCAATCTTGATGGGTGTTCCTAGTTGATGAAATTTTGGCCTAAAGATCTCAGTGCTGCCCTTTTGCAATTAATAGTTGCTCTTCTCGAGACCTTGTTGCGCTGTTTTAGTCCGCTTTTTATTTCGGAGTTCACCAACAATTTTGTTTCTGCACATCACCCCGTCCTGCCAAACAGGTTTTATTATCATGAAAGCGATGCGACTCGAATTTCGATTTCAGCTCCGCCCACCCCGGTGGATGGCCACCCACCATGAACTTTTATTCTATTCTCCTTCGTAGGTCTCTACACACATTTTCGGGCCTTTAGGACGTTTTGAAGTTGCGAGTTGAAGTTTTGTAGTATAACCGCGCACCACAATCCTTCCTTCTTTACGACGCTGCTCATTTTGGGCATAGTGGCACCTCAAACGCTATTGATCGACACAATTTTCGTCTTGTTTTCAGGTTAGGGAAGCAAATTATTACGAACTTTCCTAAGTTTTGAAAAGAAAACAAAGCCATTTTATATTAGAAATATCTAATGCCAGCCAGCTTTGTTGGATAGCTATACTCGATATCCGAAAGTTGGGGTAGGTGTGTCATCGGAAATGACGTGGCCATCGCCGCACTTGATAAAAGCTATGTGGATAAGCTGCTTCCAACATATATCGCTAGATATCAGCAAAGCATGCTGGCAACAGCTTATCAACGCATCTTCTATCAAGTGCACGTCACTTGCGGTGCCACACCTACCCCAACTCACCGATATCCGAAGTGTAAATGTAAATGCATAGCCTTTCCGGCATCGCCATTCTAAGCAAACCCCACCCTCCACGAGCACATTCAGCTTCGGCACAGCTTCGCACGGTTTGTGTGCATTGTACATTCTAGCCCACACCCCATAAAATCCAAATGGGTCCAGATCTCCATTTAAGATACTACTGGTTTACGGTGGCAAACGAGACGGGCGTTGGAGCATTAAATAAAGTAGGCCAAGATAGCTTCCAGTTCAGCACAAGGCCTCTGTGATTTACATTCTTTTTGCGGACAGAGGCAGAAGACAACAAAAAAAACAAAGTAAATGGGGCCGAAGTGCTCTAATGAAATCTATTATAAACTATTAAGAGGAGCAACATTCAAATAATTTAAAAAATTTTAATACCGTATAGCTTTATAGAGGAATGGAACGAGACTGCACGCTGCAACAGCCGCTACGACCTCCATCCGTGATAGCTTCTGCAATTGGAAGACGGGTCAAGCTTGTACATAAAGCAGCAATTCTAATTGACGCATAGAACAAAAGCTCTAGTGTTCACATATGTGATATGTCATAGATAATGGATTTCAATCGTCGAACAGCAAGTAGAGCAAGACAGTGAGAAAACAACGAACACAGCCTAACTAAGAAATTCGCAGGGTATAAGGAGAGCGGCGTATTGCAAACAGGCCAAGGCCGGACGCATAGTCGGTCGGACGACAGCAACGACTGCAAGTGTCGCACAGCATTGGATGCGTATCGATCGTCGGACTTGCCTGAGTATTCGACGATTAGATGCAGTCAGACAGTCAGACAGTTGCGACCGTTGCTGTCGGACGACCGACTATGCGTGCGCCCTAAGCGTAAGCGCGAGCGAATTACGATAATTTGTTTCTGAGCACGTTTATCTATCAGCGCGAGCCAACACGTAGTATACTGTGGTGTGCGCCGGACCTACGCCGCATGTCTAGAGATTGCCCCAACCCCACAAACCGAATGCCATTCATGCGAAATAAATCCTTCCTATTCCTCCATGGTCGCTTGAATGCTGCAGACAGCTCCATCTAGTAGAACAAACCACTTCGTCACCGAACTGCTCCTCCCCCTCTCACCCTCGTACAGGAGTCATTGTACAGGCAAAAAATCCATCCATAAACCATAACGATTCTGAACGGAGAGTAAATGCATGGAGCATTCCGAGGATAAGTGCAAATCGACGTGGGACACTTCGTTCTTCTCGCCACCCATCGCTAGCTCTCATCTTCTCATATAATCTTTGTAACTTTTCTTCCCTTCTATTTTGTGACTGAGTATGCTCCTATCTATTTATGTGTGCTAAGTGTTCACATGTGCTGACCATTCTTCGAGTCTTTCCCCAAAGCTCAAAAAGGTCACAACTTAAAACCTTAAGAAATGCCAGCAAAATATTCTAGCCATAACGTCCGAAGCAAGTACGGAACACAATCTGAGCACATCATAGGTGAAGAAATGGAAACGAACATGAAACTGACGTCATACTCTGCGAGTGTCTTGCAGTTCGAAAGTGGATAGATATGTATCGATCAAGCGTCCGTGGGGTTCCTACTACACACTTGAATTGCAGTGTGCAAGGCAGTCGCGAAGTACGACTGGGCAAGGTGTGCCATGACGTGTGGTAAGTGGAGTGGTCGCGATCCCCTGGGGCCGTCAATTGCTTTAAGGAAGGACTGAATATGGCCCTTTGGGGAAGGATTGATATGCCCCGTTGATGGTGATGTTTCAAGCTTACCGCCAGCAGTTTGCGGCACTAACGATGTCTATCGATGTCGTAGCACAATGATTATCACCTCACCTATCACCTGTCGTCCCGTTGATCGTCGATTTGCTCGAGCGGGCGCCAGCAACGTCTCCATTCGTCCCTGTCGCGTGCTAGAGTGGTCCAGTGGATCCTCGCTCGAGGGACACGAAGTCCTTCATTCCTTTCGTTCAGAGCTTTCGTGAAGAAGTCTGACCATCGGGCCGGCGGTCGTCCAGGTGTTCGTTTGACGTCCCGAGGGATCCAGTCGGTAACCGCTCTGGTCCAACGGTCATCGCAAAATCGCATGACGTGTCCGGCCCACCTTATCTTCGATTCCTTGGCGAAAACGGCAGCGTCCTGATCTTCGATCGTTGGCGTAGTTCGGAACTCCGGATTCCCCTCTGCACTTGCGTGTATAGGGTTACTCCTAGCATCGTCCTCTCGACAGCGCGTTGGATAACGCTGACCGCATGCTCGTATAATGGGTATATACAATTATGAAGCGGCGAAGGAGACACATCACCGCGGGCCCGAGCGATGCGATCGCTGGGGCCGGGTGCAGCAAAGCCCCAACTAGGGGAGGGATCCCCAACCTTGGGGATCCCTCCCCTCCCCAACGAGGGGATATGATCCCCAACCTTGGGGATGGATCCCCAACCTTGGGGATATGTCCCCAAGGTTGGGGATATGTCCCCAAGGTTGGGGATATATCCCCAACCTTGGGGATATATCCCCAACCTTGGGGATATATCCCCAACCTTGGGGATATATCCCCTACTTCGTCGCAAGACCCATCGTTTTTCGGTGGCTCCTGTGACGCAACCGTGCGGGACGGTCACTGCCGTCGACCCTCTGCGTCTCTGCAGGCAGGGGATACATCCCCCTAGTCGAGACTAGGGGGATTCGTCCCCTCACTTGGCGACGCGGAGAATTGAAGGCAGTTTCGGGTTTCTTCACCCTCTATTTCGCTTCGTTATTCGCATTTCTTTTTTCGCCATTACCTTGCCTTTGTTCATTCGCTGTTTTCTAAGCACTGTTCACAGTTTTAAAATTATCGAATATTCAAATTTGCGAAAAGAATCAGATACATATCAACATTAACCCTTTCGGCCCTGGCGGTGGCAATTGCCACCACCAAATTCAAACGCTTGCATTTCCGCTGAAACAGCATAGTTTTTCTAATCCTGCTAGAGGTTGCTTCAGTCAACCTTCCCCTTCCTAATTATGAGCTAACCTGCCATTTCATTGTGTTGCTGTTAGTATTACAAGTATTTGTGTACAAGTGCAACAATGAATGGGCGCTGACCCCCGCAACCGGCCAAGTAAGTGTGACTTTCTTAAAATACTTGAAGTAGATCCATTCCTAAATCAAAATTATGGGTTATAATGTTATGCAAGATTATAAACTTTTTCGGCATAACTATGAAATTTCGAATTGTTTCGACATAAGCTTAAAAACTAAGAAGGTGGGCCAATTTTCAAAGCTTCTTAGTTTCTTTGTTTGTGATCGAATAGCTTCCAAATTTCGCCATAATGATACCTATATGCTCACAAGTAATAAACAATAGCTAGAAGAAAAATTTCTCCACGGGGAAAAATTCAGGTCCGAAAGGGTTAAGAATCTGCGCACGCGCGAAAGCAGATGCGAAAAGGATTAAATGCGTGTCGACATTGTAGAGCACGCTGTATTAGCGTTGCTGGAGGATTTTTGCACCGCCGTTTCGCGCTGTCGATCTCCGATTGACTCGGTCGATAGACACCCATTTCTTTTAAAAGGATTCGCAGATTTTGCGCGATTCGATGCTCCTCCCATTTTGTAGATCGATACGCATTTCATTCATTTCGCATTTGCGCAGATTCGTTCGTTTTGAGCGTCATTCGGCTGTGGCGCAATGTGTGAACAGTGCCTAGGAAAGGCTCAATGTGCCTCTGCGAGAGGAGGGCGTGGCGCGGGATCCACCGCTCGTTGCGCTAAAAAGGAATTTTAGAAGTTCGGCGAAAATTGGCGGGGTATATTCTAGTTAGGGGGCATCACGATGCAGTTTGTTCAACGTGAGAAGGGAGAAGGCAGAGCTTGAGAAGGAAGACTGCTTAGACACTTAGAATTATCTCTTCTCCTCTAAGGGTCAGCCCCTTTCCGTGAATCTGACACCATTCACGGGGCCACACTGAGCCAGAAGAAACCACAGAATCAAAAAAAGAGGGAAAGGCAATTGAAGAAAAATGGTTAACGATGTGAAAGAGGCGCTCAGCCTCCAAGACCATTTGCCACTGTATTTCGTAAGAGCCACGAAGTGAAGAGATAGTAACGGTTCCTATGTGTGCCGTGCCATTGTATTTCGAAACTGCCATAGTGCTACGAAACATTAATGGTCCGTGAGCCTTCGAGATGCGGAAGCCCTGGGTCCTGCGACGAA